CCCCCCCCCCCCCCCCCCCCCCCCCCCCCCCCCCCCCCCCCCCCCCCCCCCCCCCCCCCCCCCCCCCCCCCCCCCCCCCCCCCCCCCCCCCCCCCCCCCCCCCCCCCCCCCCCCCCCCCCCCCCCCCCCCCCCCCCCCCCCCCCCCCCCCCCCCCCCCCCCCCCCCCCCCCCCCCCCCCCCCCCCCCCCCCCCCCCCCCCCCCCCCCCCCCCCCCCCCCCCCCCCCCCCCCCCCCCCCCCCCCCCCCCCCCCCCCCCCCCCCCCCCCCCCCCCCCCCCCCCCCCCCCCCCCCCCCCCCCCCCCCCCCCCCCCCCCCCCCCCCCCCCCCCCCCCCCCCCCCCCCCCCCCCCCCCCCCCCCCCCCCCCCCCCCCCCCCCCCCCCCCCCCCCCCCCCCCCCCCCCCCCCCCCCCCCCCCCCCCCCCCCCCCCCCCCCCCCCCCCCCCCCCCCCCCCCCCCCCCCCCCCCCCCCCCCCCCCCCCCCCCCCCCCCCCCCCCCCCCCCCCCCCCCCCCCCCCCCCCCCCCCCCCCCCCCCCCCCCCCCCCCCCCCCCCCCCCCCCCCCCCCCCCCCCCCCCCCCCCCCCCCCCCCCCCCCCCCCCCCCCCCCCCCCCCCCCCCCCCCCCCCCCCCCCCCCCCCCCCCCCCCCCCCCCCCCCCCCCCCCCCCCCCCCCCCCCCCCCCCCCCCCCCCCCCCCCCCCCCCCCCCCCCCCCCCCCCCCCCCCCCCCCCCCCCCCCCCCCCCCCCCCCCCCCCCCCCCCCCCCCCCCCCCCCCCCCCCCCCCCCCCCCCCCCCCCCCCCCCCCCCCCCCCCCCCCCNGGGGGGGGGGGGGGGGGTGGTGATGATGGCAGCGATGACGGTGGTGGCGACGACGGCAATGGTGGTGATGATGGTGGAGTGGCGGCGGCGGTGACGATGGTGGCGATGACAGTGGGGGTGGCAGCGACGGCGACGGTAGTGACGGCAGTGGTGGTAGAGGTAGTGGTGGAGCGGTTTTAAACACTATTTTTTTTAAAGTATTTATGAGAAATAATTCATAAAAGTACTTTTAAAAAGTTACTCTAAACACATCCTTAAGACCTTATTTTTCTTATTAAATTTAGGGTATTAAAATTAATCGTTAGATTAACTTTAAAAGTAAAATTTAAAGCGATCTGAATCGCAAAAAGTAAAAGTAATTTTGTTTATTTTTTGAAATTTGAATTGTAAACTATTTTATTATATAAATAATTTAAATGCTCGTAAAAAATAAAAATAAATTCAGGACAAACCGGAGTTGTTCGGATCGTACAACAATCATATCCTATCTATGAATATCCTGCTTGGTCTATTTAGTTCAACTTTGTACCACTCCACTACAGTTTTTGCCGTCTCTGTCTCTCTCATACACACACAAGTTCTGGAAGAACCATCTAGTTTATCCCAATGTCTATTATCCTAGAAGCCAATGAAACGTTGGACTGCCTACTTAGCTGTGAGCATAAAGACAACCGGTATAATAGTGTTAATTTGTTTCATTTCTAACCGTAAAAGAGGTTTAATTTTTCCTCCTTTTTTTATAGGAAAATGGGTAAAACATGTTTATATAACATGCGAAGAGGCTTAATAACCACTTTGGAATGTCCGCTCCAAACCTGCTGAACTACACTATCTATGAGTCTTCTATTGTCACATTTGATGACAGGAAGAACGAGTACACATAATTTGTGGGTAAAAAAAACTAACCAAGCTGCCCCATGGGAAAAAAAAGAACCGTGTATCAAAATGGCCTACAGCCCGAACATTGGTTCCCAAAATCTAATATATAAAAGGGGTCAAATGTACTTCAAATATTTTTTTCCCCGAAGACAAGAAGGAAAAATAAAAAAGAGAACCTAAATACCCGACATAGTTCCTTGTATTGACCGAACTGAAAACGAAACAAATTGACACACTTAAAGTTTCACGTCAAAATCGTGATATTTAATTTTATGCGACTTGGTAGAGAAGAGAAAACATTCAATGCAATTGACCACCCCGTCATCAGTGTTTTTTGATATCACAAATTAATTATAATTAAATATGTAAGACTCAGGGGCGGAGCCAGAAATTTTGCTCAAGATGGACACTTTAATTGTGTACTCTAATTTTTTTTCCATATAACCAATCACACTATATAACATATTTATATTTATTATATTATATTTGATATATGAAGTCCATTTAATATAAAAAATTCTCAAAAAAAAATGTATATTGTCATGGGCGGAGCCATGAATATCTATAATAGAGGCAAAATATAACTCGTATAAAAAAATATTAAGCCGAAATTAATACAAAAAAATTCAGTTCAAGAATAAAAAAAAAAGTAAGAATCAACATTAAATTATTTTGAAATAATAAATTCAATTTTTATTAGTCGAAACAAAATCTTAACAAAAAAACACAAAATAATTTTTTTAGTACATTTTAACCTAATTATATATTTCAATAAAATATATTTTTTTTAAAAATCTCTAAAATTTTGTATATAATTTAAATGTAAATTAATTTTTGTATTTTATTAGGTTATATACTATTATTACTAAAAAAATAGTAAATGAAAACTAAAAATTATTTTTACAAAGTAACGAACATTGTGTTAGATAAAGAGAAATATTGTATTTTCGTCAATATACAAATAAAACAATGAGTCAATCCAAAACTAACATATTTATTTTAGAGGGTTAGTGGTCCACTAATTTATTTAAAAAAAAAAGACTAGAACCATTATTAAAATTTTCAAAAATTTAGGGGTTAAATATAATGTATAAAATAATTTTATAGGTTGGTGCAAGGAAGGACAACAAAACTCAAGAAACTGAGTTTCTCATGTGTTGAGCTTTTCTTTGTTTCTTTTCTTTTTCTTATGACTGGTCAGTGGACAGTTGGGAGTAAGTGAAACAAAGAGGAAAAAAAAGGAAAAATAAGATAAAGTTTAGTCAAGTGGGCCAAAAGTTTTGTTTTTTAATGATGGTGGGTCAAAAATTTTGTTTTTAATGTTAGACCAAAAATTTTGCTTTTAATGTTAGGCCAAAAATTTTGTTTGTAATGTTGAGCTAAAAGTTTTGTTTTTTTAATAGATTTAGGTGGATTGTGATAGGTCAAATATTTATTTTTTTAATAAGTTTGGATAGATAATAGTGAGTTCAATTTTTTTTTGTTTTAAATGGACTTAATTGTTTAATTATTTTAGGTAAATAATGTGGGCCTAATATAAATGAGGGGGGACACACATAATATATATTTATAAATATATAATACATATATCTAACTTATAAAAAAAAAAATT